AACATTCTATAGTTTATTTACCCATGTCCCATAGATGGCACACTTAATTTATTTCCTATTGTGTGCTAATAGTATGCTGCAGTGACCATTGTCATGCGTGTCTCCCTGTGCCCACACTGAAGAGTGTCTCTTGGGCACATACCTGGGAATAGGATCACTGGGTCACATGTGTGTGTTTTAACTTTATAGGTCCCTGTGCTCTTCAACATGGTGGATTGACCTTCACTCTCATCTCAGCATGAATTTCTGCTCTCTACATCTTTGCCTTTACTTGGTATTTTCACTCTTTTTAAACAGTTGCCTATCTAAAGGGTGTGAAATATCACTCTTATTTTAATTAGCAATTCTCTGATTACCAGTGGGGTTGAACATTTTTTTTTTTTTTTCTGGTACAGGCAGTCAGTATAGATGGGTAAATCAGGTCAGATCAAGGAGGCCAATGAGTGAGTCCTCAAGTTGAAGACTGTCCCCTGAGGGATTGAAATGTTAATTTCTTCAGAGCCCTTTCTTCACCTTTATCAAGAATCTCCCCCTGCTCCAACCTGTTGCCAAGGTAACCTGTCCCAGGAATTGTCCCTCCTCTACAGGAGCTGTAAGGTTGTTAATGTATCCTTGGTGGCTCCTCCGTGCCCTTCCCCCTTCAGCCAACCTGTTTCCCACCTTTTGGCCATCCCACTGAGCATTCCTGGGCCTAGTCATGCAAGCAGGAAGGAAAAAGATGAGGGGAAGAGGGCAGGAGAACAAAGGAAACCTAGAATAAAAAGGGCAGAACACCTTGCTTCTTGGGATACTAGCTCTGGCCCCCTTCTCCCTCCAGGGAGAAGTCTATGTTGCCCCTTTTTAAATAAATCCTGCTTTATATGCTTGCCTTGGTGTGTTTCTCTAATGTTCAAACTTCAACATTTGAGGGAGCAGAACTCATCACCAGTAACCAGCAATATCAGTACCAGGGATTGAACCCAGGGTACTCAACCACTGAGCCACATCCCTGGTCCTTTTTTATTTTTTTGAAAATAGGCTTGTAAGTGGTCTGCCTGCCTCCACTGATGATATTGTGATACAAAATAAGAAATACTTATTTGGTCTTTGCTTCTGGCTCCCTATACAGAGCTCCTCAATCCCTTGGAATTTCCTGGGTGACAGGAGCATCTTTTGTTCTAATGAGGCAACCCTTGGTGGGCTTCTGGATGGCCTCAGGACGGGCCAGGGAATCCAATCTTGTGATTATAGGTGTGAAAATTGTCAGAATCAAAATGGAGTTGCTTGTGTCAACCTTAACAAAAAATAAAGCCAGAAGGTATTGAAGGAAGGTTCTCACACATGGTAGGCTGATAGTAACTATCACAAAAGACTGCCAGAAACACAGCTTTACACAAAGGCCACTGCAACCTTATGCAAAAAGTACTTTCACAAGGACATCTGTCCAGTGACTGTTCAACCTTGGACTGACATCACTCTGGTTACTAATCATTATTGAAAAGGATTGTTTCAAAATATCTTATGTAATCCTCCTCATTTTGCCTTTGAAAACTTCCCCTTGCCTCAACCTCTTTGAACACACTCATGGTTTAATGGCATGCACATTCTCCTTGCAATGCTATTCTTTTCAAATAAATATCACTATACTTGGAGAGCATCTCTATTTTTTTTTAAAGCTTGACAGAGGGTCAGAACTTTTAGCCCCAACTATCTGAGAAGGGGAAGGAGCTGAAGGTCAAGTTGAGAACCAATGGTTAATGATGTAATCATACCTACACAATGAAGCCTCCACAAACCCCCCCCCCCAAAAGACTGGGTTTGGAGGGCCTCCAGCAAGCTGAGCACTGTGGGTTGCCCCAGGCAGCTCTTCCATAAGACCTCTTTGTGATATCCTTTAAAATAAATAGGAAATGTAAGGAAGGATTTCTCAAGAATCCTAGGAAATTCATCAAATCCAAGGAGCCATGGGAACCCTGATTTATAGTCTGTTGATCAGAATTATAGGTAACAACCTACTAATCGTGATTGTTATCTGAAGTGGGGGGCAGTATTGTGGACTGAGCCCTTAACTTGTGGGGAATCTGATGCTAACTCCAGAGAGTGTCAGAATTGAAGTCCATTATGAGATACTCAGTTGGTGTCTGCTGAACTGCTTGGTGTCACAACTGGTGGCAGAAGTATTCTGTGTTGTAGTGAGTTTGAAGGTAGAGAGGAAAAAAAAACCTATTTTTTTTCCATCCAATATTGCATGTGCCAATCTGGGTTTCCCTCAAGGGCAAAGGAGACCTTTCGAAAAGGCCATGGTAAGTCTATCATTTGAGTCATCCAGATTCTTCTATGACCGCCCAAAGAGCTAGAGACAATTAATTAGCTCTGTATGCCCCAATAGTCTTACATATTTATACATGAAGGATAAAAGCCATCAGATTCCCGTCAACAGCGAAACTGGGATTTAGAAGAAAAAGGGAAAAATATTCGTATACTGGCATCCACTGAGACTGGGATAAACTCACTGGCAGGCAGCTAGTAAAGAGGTAAGAGCAGATGGTCCACCCTTGAGCAGGCTGGTTCACATCCAAGAAAGCTATTTTAGCTGTGTGGACTTTTGGGAATACCTTTGAGAGCCAAACTGAGATGTTTACCTGATAGGCTGATTCCGTGTGGTGTTGGGAGCACCTTTCCTTTAATACCCTCCACCATTTTCCTGTCAGAATTCTTGGCTTCCTTGTAGAGAGAGCATTGGGATAAAGTTCAGAATCATTTGTCAAGCACCCTTTGTGATCTGACCAATGTTTACATTTCTAGTATTTTCTGTAGCCAGGAGCCAAGGGACTCTGCCCCAGTCTCCACAGACCATTGGGAGTTCCCCAACCACAGAAAGCTATTCGGCAGTCCTGGACTTAACTTGACAATCACTTTTCTCCTTCTTGCCAAATTTTGCCCCCCACCCCGGGAATGTTCAGCAATATCTGGAGGCATGCTTGACTGTCAAAATGGTGGCGGGAGTGCTACTGGCATCTAGTGGGTAGAGGACAAGGATGCCACGGAACACCCTATAACATAGAGGACATCTCCTTTCCCACACAATAGAAAATAATCTGGCTCCAAAGACCAGTAGTACTGAGGCTGAGAAGTCCTCCCTCAGTGTCTCTCCTCTTTGCTTCCTTCTGCTGCCTCTAGTAATATATAGATGCAATTACTCCTATGGCACCCATTGGCCTCACTACCTAGAATACGGGTTTCCTGAGAGACTGTGGTGTAGCTAACTGGAACGGAAAGGACTCAAATATTTGCTGAATAAATGAACAAAGAAGCCATGAGTGCTATCTATCAAATTATCTGAGACATTTGGGAAGGATGGATGGATATAAGGTGTCCAGAAGCTAACACACCCATTTGAAGAGCTGACAGGGAAACATTTCTCCATATTTAGAAGTTTTATACCCTGCATTCCTCCTGGCATGTTTTGGCAATTTTTAAAGACAGAGAATAGGGCTGGGGATATAGCTCAGTTGGTAGAGTGCTTGCATAGCATGCACACAGGCCCTGGGTTCAATCTTCAGCACAGATGTCAATGTCAATGTTAAGTATTTGCCGGGTGGCCAGTGCTATGTTTTGTAGGTACTACTCAATGTGGTACTCCCAATGACCTGTGGGAGAACTATTAACTCATTTCAAGGATCAGGAAGGAATGCAAAGCACCAAGAAGTGAAAGGAATTCACCCAAGGGACCGCTTCTTTGGGGGAAGGTACAAGAGGCTGTGGCAAAGAGAAACATTTCATTTTTAAGTGCCTGCTGTAAAGACACGCTTTGGTTTGTATTTGTGTCTGGGTCCCATTTATTTTATAGTTAGGCATATGAGTTTTTAATAAAACAGAGAAATACTAAAGCTTTGAAATTTTAGTCATGTGTCACCTCAGGGGCAAGTGAATTCTGATTTTCATCTGCAGTACCTAAGCACAAATCGTGACTCCAGTAATGAGAGCTTGGAAAAATAAGCACCCGAGGCTGATGAAAGTAATGCATTTGTCTCGGGGCAGGGGCGGAATGTGAAGCTAAGCGTTCTTGGGGAGAAACATGTCAATACTAAATCTTTTCACCAACCTTTGATGGATGTGCTAATCTTCTCAGGTCAAGCCAGGCTCACCCTGGCAATGCACTGTAATAACTTATTTAAAAGGCAGGTGGCTATTATAAATGGACTGTTCCATCAACTTTTAGATTTTCATTCTCAGAAATGTATTCCCTTATCAAAGCAATATTTGCTATATATAGTAAGAGCTTAATTGTGCATTTTCTACAACAGAAGACGCTGCAGAAGTGAGCAGGTTGGGGAATTACTGTTCTTTGCTCTCAATTCTGTATGACTTTCAAGCTCTGTAGAGAAAACAAGATAACAATAATGTCAGGTGATTTTCATTCCAGTAGAGTAGCAGTTGGCAAACTACCACCTGCAGACCAAACCTAGTCCTCAGCCTGCTTTTATAAATAAAGCTTTATTGGAACACAGCCAAATCTATTTGTTTATGTACCATGTATAGCTGCTTTCACACTATAAGGGCAAAGATGAATAGTCACAATGCAGACTATGTGGCCTGCAAAGCCAAGAGTATTTATTCTTTGGCCCTTTACAGAACATGCAGGCTGACTCCTGCATAGAAAGAGGTGGTATTTGTCTCATTGCACATTCACATCATTTTCAGCGAGGATTAGAGGAACTGCATTAGGAGAGTACGTCTGGCTTATTTAAAGCATTTGTGAAGTTCAGGCAGGTTAAAAGAAAATGCAAGAAGGCAAAATGGTAGGCAGTTATCACTAGGCAAGAATTTTTAATGCACTGAACACTATTATTGACATTAAAAACGAGTGGAATGATGATTTTTTTTTTAACCAGGGATTGAACCCAGAGGCACTTAACCACTGAGTCACATCCCCAACTCTTTTTCATATTTTTAAATTTAGACACAGGGTCTTGCTGAGTTGCTCAGGACCTCACTAAGTTGCTGAGGCTGGATTTGTACTCCTGATCCTCCTGCTTCAGCCTCCTGAGCTGCTGGGATTAGAGGCGTGTACCACTCACTATGCCTGGCTCAAAATGATCATTGAGAGAGAAGATATTTCATGTTGGCAATAGTATACATCCTGCTTACTTCCAAGTGGCTGACATTACATCCTCCTTCTGATGGTCCACCAGGATTTTGGTGACCATGCTGTATCTCGGTACAGAGGCCTCTTTCCCTGAGAATTGTATAGAAGAGAGATGATGGGAGTGTGTCTCAGAGGGAAAGGGTGAGGCTGGGGACTGTCTTTAGGGAGCATTCCCTTGGGGCCCTGTGCCCAGGATTCAGAACTTGAGGGGAATGACAGGCCAGTACTTGGGCTGCTTTCTGTCGCAATGTTTGTCAAAGCTCAGTTGCACAGCGGCCTCCATGGCCTGGATCTTGGCAGCGCTCTCTCCATATAAGCGCTTCATCTCGGCCTGGCGCCGCTCTCCAGGCCTCTCACTCGGGGGCTCCACCGAGCGCCGGGTGTTGCAGTACAGGCCATGATCAGCATTCACGTAGTCATCTAGGCGCTCTGCATCCAGCTGCTGCTGCCGCCCTAGAAGTACACCTGAGCATGAGCATGCATGAAACACACGTGCACACAGACACAGGCAGAAGAGCAATGCTGCTGCCTCTGGCCCTGAGGCCCTTTGGTCCTTCCCTCCCCAACCGTGAGATGGGGCCCAGTTGTGCCTTCTCAGTAGCCCTCCAGATCCTGAGGCATGACCTATAGATTACTATTGTCTACTTAGTTATGAAGCTCACTCTTCACTTTCTAGGGATGATTATACACTGATAGAAATGATAAAGAGCCTCGAGGACTGGTCAGTCTGATCCACCAAACCTCTGCAGTGTGCCCTAAAAATACGGAAGACAAATGAAACCACCTGGGTTTCTCTCATCATCTGCATGGCTACTTCCAAACCTGCCAGCCAGGAATGGATGAGGGTGCTCGCCTGCTTTCAAACACCATACCAGGCCAACATAGGAACAAAAAGCTTCCCGGAAAGTCCAGGGTTGCAAGAAGCAGTACATATCACCACAAATGAGGTGGTGGTGGGGGAAATCACTCCTCTGAAAGAGGTTATTGATTTTAGGCAAGCTGGAAAACAAGCCCTAGTAAGTCCTGCCAGCAACCATGATCCAGGATCCTTCCACAGATGCAAAATGCACATCATACCAGCAAACAAAAGGTTAAATGAGCCCATGCTTGCTAAAGATAAAAGAGCAAGGAAATTGCAATTCTACAAATAGATTTAAGATCCCTGACTTGTAATCTTGCTATATTAACAAATTTGCCACCGGGGTGTGTGGGGGGATTTGACTTTCCACCTCTAGCCTAGGTAGAACTGCAGTGCAAAGCATATAATGGTATGTATAAATATCTATGTATTTTTAATTCTACTAATTTAAGTGGATTCCTGTAAAGCAAGAAATGCTTTATTCATTTTGCCCTCGTTCTACTTTTTACTATAGCAAGTCCCAGGATCATCATTTTTATTCTTATGTAAATACCAACATAAAAATGTCAACAAAAGAATGCTGCATAAGGTAGAATTTAGCCAACTCACATAGATTTTGTAAGTGACTCTGTCAAGAGAGAAATTGATAGCAGAAAGTACATTATCTGTAGCCACTATTGTTACCAAGAGAAATGCCACTAGATAAGGAGTGAAGATGGCTGTAGGGGAATAAAACAATGATATAAATCATTCTTTCCTTGTTGTTCCTCTCTCCACTTAGTACCTGGAAAGGAACACAGTAGTGAGCTAATCAAGTGTGAAGGGAAAGATATTTATAAGGCTATGCACTGTCACTCTCATAAATCCCGTTCTTTATAAATATCACCTTGGAGTTGGAGAGAAGGAGTTTTACAGACTCGGAAACATTATTAAAAATGGATAAGGCCACATGTATGTGGCCACTGCTGTCTTAGTACATCTGCAGTTTGTTTTCCCCACACAGAAGTAATACCCGGATAAACCAAATGACTGTCAAACAAAATAAATGCCCGATGACTATGATCTTACCCACAGAAAACACATATGATTGACTTATTGTGAAATGCAGAAACAAACTAAAAATATGGGCCGAATACGCAAATGAATGAGAGGTCAACAAGTGTTTGATTCCAAATTTTGGTGTTTTTGCCAAGTTTGAAGAAACATCACTATTTATGCTATTCAGTTCAAATTCTATGCCCTTCCCAAACTGAGTCCTGTTGAACAGTGTGAGAGTAGATGAACTGGGTCCTAATTAGGCAGAAAAAAATGGCCATTTCTACACATTTTTCTGACTTCCAAGCTAACTTCCAGGGAGAGAAAAAAAAAATGAAGCAGTGGGTTAGAGAAAAGCACTGTGTGGTTGCTGTGCTACTTCTAAGACCCCTGTGTGTTCTTGGCGCTAAAGCTGGGGTGGGGAAGGAAGCCCAGCTGCATGCCAGCTTCTCCCTGGGAACATCTCTGTCTTTCTCTTGCCTCTCTCTATCCTGGGTAGAACTTTGAAGAAAAGCTTAGCTTGTTTGGTATTTGCAGAAGGAAGAAGAAAGATGCCTAGGGCACTAGTGGGCAGTTACAGACTGGTAAGGTATGTCTAGTCACTAAGCCTTTCACACTCACCTCTTACAAAAGTCATAGGAAAAGTACTCTGTAAAACCCTGGCCAGGCAGGGGTGGGGCTGACGGTGGCCCTTGGGCTTTCTGAAGGCCTGGCATTCCCACATTAGCACAACAGAGTCACTCTGCCACGTATGAGCACCTTAGATATATTACCGATGCTTTGTTTCGTGTCTTGTCCACCCAGAAAAGATGACCCCACACATGTGGTGCTGGGTGCCTCAGAGCCTCTGCATCCAGAGTGTAGAGCCTGCAGTAAGACATTCCCAGCTAACCATGGTATTACTCTCAAATTTGTCCCAAGACTATAATCCTCTTCACTGACAGATTCAGTGACACAACAGATGTTCGAGTGCTTGTCTAAATCTGAGTCTCTGAGTTTAGATGTTTTAACAAACACCAGGATCTTAGCTGTTTAATAAATGTTGCTCTTAGTTGGCCATTAGGGTACGTGAATTTAGCCTTTTTACTTCTGCACCTTTATTCTTTTTTTCCTTAAAATCGAAAGTGGTTATAACTATGATTTTTGTTACTCTTCTAACAAAAACTATCTCGTGGATATTAAGTAGGCATGCGGATTACATGGAGAGATGATTTCTCTTGGTGCTGGAGTTTGTGAGAGAAACCTAATGTTAGTGTGTGGCAAGCCCAGTGCAGTCAGGAAGCCTGTGCATTTGCTTGTGTGTCACCAGCATGAGATTTTATTCTTAATCAAGTTTGTACAGTGTGAGAACAAAAGAAAGACAGAGCCCCATGCTCCCAAATCTCAACTTGTATTTCCTTCCCATTCAGGCTTCCTCATGAAAATTTAAGGCTCAGCCTGGTGTGATGGTACATGCCTGTAATCCCAGCCACTCAGAAGTCACTAAGTTAGGCAGCAAGGCAGGAAGACTGCAAGTTTGAGGATAGCCTGGGTAATTCAGTGAGTCCTGTCTTAAAATAAAAAGAAATAAAGAGGGGTAGGAATGTAGCTCCGTGGTAGAGCACCTAGTACCCACCTCCACACACACAAAAAAATTTTTAAGGCCCGGCACTTGTCCCCTCCCTGCCTCTTAGGAGATTTGTAAGTTTCATGGTTTCTTGCATAGTGGATATTAGATTTTTTCTTTTAATTGAATCCAGTGGTGTTTAATCAGTGAGCCACATCCCATTCCTTTTTACATTTCATTTAGAGACAGGGTCTTGCTGAGTTGCTTTAGGATCTCATAAAATTGCTGAGGCTGGCTTTGAACTCGAGATCCTCCTGCTTCAGCTTCCCAAGCCTCTGGGATTACAGGTGTGCACCACAGTGCCTGGCTGGATAATGGATCTTAAAACACTGACCCAAAGGGTTAAAAGCCTGTCATCTGCCCTGATAGATATATAGGTGCTTGTGGTGTGCTTTGTAAGGACCATCTATGAGGCACTGTGTCACCTTTATTGACTGCTGCATGCCTGGCTCTGGTAGGACACCATGCCTAATGCAAAGCAGGTGCTCTGGAAATGATTATTAAATAATGCTCCAACAAAGACCATATGTTATTTGTTTTTAAACAACTCTTCCTTTCAGATGCTGTCAAAGAAAAAAGATGATAAGCCAAGGACAGAGAAATAAATGCTCAAATCTCACAAGTACCAGGCAAAGCTCCCCTGCCTGTGGCTTCTCAGGGCTTCCATGGCAGATGGCAGAGAGGCACCAATGAGTAGGGGTTGGACCCTGATCCCTTCGCCTCTACTTACTCATAAAATTAAGAAAGAAGAAGTTTCAAGGTTGCATTAGAAATTTGAAAACCAGTTGGTTTAAAGTCAACTACCACAGGGTGTAGTGGTGCATGCCTGTAATCCCGGCTACTTGGGAGGCTGAGACAGGAGAATCTTAAGTTGCAGGCCAGCCTCAGCAACTCGGCAAGGCCCTAAGCAACTTAGCTGGACCCTGTCTCAAAATTAAAAAAAAAATAAAAAGGGTGGTGTTCAGTGGTAAAGCCCCTGGGTTCAATTCCCAATACCCTTGCTCCCCAAATAAAGTCAACTACCCTTAGACTGGCTGTGTGATGATGGTCACGGCTAGCATCAGAAAGTACTTTAGTGTATCCTGACTAGGTGACCAAGTCAACTTTAGAATGGAATATCTGAGTTTGAAGGCCTCCACTTATTCTACTTATTGCTTTCTTCTTCCTCCCTCCCATTGAAAGAAAGGGTTCTCAATCACTGGCAGATTTTCTCCTGTCAAGGTAATGTTTAGCCATCTGGATGGAGAACCACTCAACTGAAGCAGAGAAGTTTCAACATCACACTTTGGATGTAACTGAATGGTTGTCTTGACATGGACAGTTGTGTCATTCTTAATGAAAACACCTGTAGGACTCCATATTACCAAGCACTTTTTTCTTGTAGGGTATGTGGCCAAAGGAAGCTATTTTACTACAAATCAGAAATAACTTTTTAGATTCTATTACAGCTTTAATATAGGGTTGAAATGGATTGAATAATGTCCCCCCCCCCAAAGTTCATGTCCACCCAGAACCTCAGAATGTGAGCTCATTTGGAAACAGTCTTTGCGGATAATAATTAATAATAAAGATGAGATCATACTGGATTAGGGTGGACTGCAAATCCAATGAGCATGTTCTCATATGAGACAGAAAAGGACACAGAGAAATGAGGAAAGCCATGTACAGATGGAGACAGAGACTAAAGTGACACTGTCAACAAGCCAAGAAATGTAAGGGAACACTAGATGCTAGAAACAGCAAGGCCCTAGAGCGTTTGGAGCAAAGGTGGCCCCATTGACACCTTGATTTCCAACTTCTAGAACTGTAGGGAAAGAATAAATTTCTGTTGTCTTAGGCCACCAAGCTTGTGGCAATTTGTTACCACACTTCTAGGAAACTAATACAAGGATTAATATGCACACGGGGTTAAAACAAGAAAAATAGTCATGTACTATTAAGGAAAAACTTGAC